AAAAAAAAAAAAAAAAAAGAATTGACTTTATTTATTTATTTATTTATTGAAGAGACAGGATCTTGCTCTGTTTCCCAGGCAGTCTTGAAACTCCTGGTCTCAAGTGATGTTTCCACCTAAATCTCCTGAGTAGCTGGGATTACAGGTGCATGCCACTGTGCCCAGCTCAGACTAATTTTAGTTTTTAGAGCAGTATGTTTAGCTTCATTCCTAAACTCATAACTATTCCAATTTTTTGTTGTCACTACTGCTTGTAAGCCTCTTAGATTTTTCCCATGACTTCCTATTACCTGTGCCAGTATTGTGGCCTCTTGCCCTATTTAGACTTTTTTAACAACTGTTTGCTTGTGTTTTTTGTTTACCTCTAAAGCATGGCTGCTGTAAAGACATTAATCAAAGCCAATGGGTTTGGGGTGGGGATTTTTTTGTTCCCCCAAACAGGAATTTGACAATTACGCAGAATGGGACTTGAGAGACATTGATTTTGTTGAAGATGACTCGGACATTTTACATGGTAACAGTTTATTTTGTCAAATGTTTATCAAGCGCCAACTGTGTAATAACACTGTCTTGGGTGCTGGGAATTGAAAGATGAATAGAACATGTCCCCTACCCTTGTGGAATTCAAAAATCTACTGGTTAAGTTGCTGAACTTACTCTGTTGTTGGATTTTGACCACAGTGAATAAGATTTGTAATGAGGGTAAAAATATTGATTATATGATAGTAGTTGGAAATATCTGTTGGACTGTGTGATTTTTACTTTTATCTGAGATAAGTCTACACTAAGGTAATTGTTTAAATGGCCCTCACTTGCATTCTTAGAAGGAAGGGAATCAATTTGAATTCTTGGGACTTCAGTAACAACTGCTAACACTAAATGTTCACTATATTTTGTTACCCGAAATTTCCCCTAGCAAGGAAAAACAATGGAAATTCGTCAAGAGTTTTTAGGCCCAAATGGGGAATTTCTTGTTTCTCAGGACTGTTGAATTTTCAACACTGCTGAATTCTTTTTTTGTGTTTGTTTTTGAGACAGAGTCTTACTCTGTTGCCCAGGCTGGAGTGCGGTGGCGCAATCTCGGCTCACTGCAACCTCCGCCTCCCAGGTTCAAGTGATTCTCCTGCTTCAGCCTCCCAAATAGCTGGGATTACAGGTGTCTGCCACCATGCCCAGCTAATATTTGGGTTTTTTTTTTTTATTAGAGATGGGGTTTGTTTCGCCATGTTGGCCCGGCTGGTCTGCAACTCCCGACCTCAAGTGATCTGCCCGCCTCAGCTTCCCAAAGTGCTGGGATTATAGGCATGAGCCACGATGCCTGCCCCAACACTGCTGAATTTTAATCTTTGATTAGCCCTCTAAGGGTTTATGTTAACTCTTTTCCTAAAACTTAAGTGGTGAATGCCAAAGGGCTGTTAAGAGTAGATAGTTAGACTTTTGAGTCCTTTTTTTCCTTCTTTCCATTTTCAGTGAACTACATACTAATATATACTAATACTACATAATAATACCCAATCCTTTTTTTTTCTTTAATTTTAGTTCAGAGATTAGTAATTATCTATTGGAATCTGTATTTCCCGAATTACATCTTCATTATTTCTGTTAAATTTACATCCCAGGCAGGAAAGACAAGTAAAATACTTGTTAAATTATAAATCAAGTTTTCACGTTGCGTGAACTGGTACACGGTCCCTAAAAGGGGAACTTGATTCTTTTTTCTCCATAGAAGAGCTGCCTGGATATTTGTTATACCAGATCTAAGATAAAGAAATAGTCCTCATAAAAATTTTACCTTAAGAAATTTTTCTCTACACATTTCTTGAGCAGTGGGGTTTTTTTTTTTAGTTTTTTTTTTGGCAAAATTTTATTCCTCCTTTTCTCCCACACAACTTTAAGGAAAGTCAAACTGACGCAGATTGAACTAAAAGAGGAAAGCTTGAAAGCAAACTACTTTAGCATTAACTAAATCCATTGTATTTGTTCAGTCTTCCATGTGAGTCTCGTCAATCCCAGTGACTCATGTTGTCTTTTCTCACCTCTTGTGGTGTTCTCTTTGAAGGTAGTATGCAGACTGCCATTCAGTGTTTCTCCTCATACATACCAGCTTTAATTAAAATGGTATTGTTTTCTGGCTTATACCTTTCTTACAGAATGCCAGACTACTCTGTGCAAAAGGGGCAGCTTCATAAATATAATTCTTTTGGATTCTGCTCAAAAATACCAAATTTTTGGCTGGGCATGGTGGCTCACACCTATAATCCTAGCATTTTGGGAGGCTGAGGCTGGATGATCACTTGAGGCCGGGAGTTCAATACCAGCCTGGGCAACACAGTGAGACCTTGTCTCTAAAAAAAAAAAACCCTTAAAACAAATTTTATAAATATTATTATTGTTTTTCCTTCTCCTTCCTGCTTTTTATTTTTACTTATATATTTATTTCTTACAGAATTTTAAAGTCAACATCTATAATGTTAATAATGGCTCGACTTGCTGAATCACTTCTCTAGATCCTAATCTAAGGTCTTCATTCGTACTTCCCAACATTACTAAGAAAACTGTAGTAATGGTCGGTATTTAATTTCATTCTTCATTCTTCGTGGGAGCAGGGCTTGCAGTTCCCTCTGGTTCACTTGAGGTCCTTTTTGTAATTAAGTGGAGATAAAAAGCAACAAGCGATTGTCAGCAATTTATAGTTCAGTTAGCTTTTCAAACCCATAACGTACTTTAGTGTATTCTCCCTGAAGTTTCTATAGCCCTGTAAATTATTGATTTTCATTTGAGCTATAACTGAAACTTATTAATCTTTATACATAGTAGCTTTAATACAACATAAATAATAATTCTTTCCCTCTGCCCCATAGTAAACTATAAGACATTTATATGAGTGCTTTTATTTATTTATTTTTTTGTGACAGAGTCTTACTCTGTCACCCAGGCTGGAGCGCAGTAGTGTGATCTCGGCTCACTGCAACTTCTGCCTCCCAGGCTCAAATGATTCTTGTGCCTCAGCCTCTGGCGAAGCTGGAATTAGCGCTACCATGCCTGGCTAATTTTTATATTTTTAGTAGAGATGGGGTTTTGCCATGTTTGCAAGGCTGGTCTCAAACTCTTGGCCTCAACTGATCTGCCCATCTCTGCCTCCCAAAGGGCTGGGATTACAGGGGTGAGCCACCGCGTCCGGCCCTAAGTGAATGTTTTTAAAAAGATGATAACACTTTAGATTTGGGTATGGTGGCTCACACTTGTAATCCTAACACTTTGGGAGGCCAAAGCGGGAGGATTTCTTGAGCCCAGGATTTCAAGATCAGCCTAGACAACAAAGTGAGGCCCCCACCTCTAAAAAATAAAAAAGATGGTAACATTTTAAAGAAGCTTGTCAGCACTGCAAATCAAAGGAATGACTTGCTCATGCCACAGAGAGGTATTTTGTTTACAGCTCTGAGTTCTTATAGTAGCTCCTGTGGCAGCATGCCCATGTCCAGGGGCATATTGTCCCTGAGCTGTCACTCCCAGAACACTCAGTGAAGTGCACTAGGAGCCCATGGAAAGTCAGGAAGGAATGAAAAGACTTTATAAGCACACCTGTAACAGAGAGAGGGGCACAGATTTTGTGGAAATCAGGACACTGATTCAGCCTCTGGCTTGCTTCTGAGTCATGGTATAATCGTGAGTAAGTCCTTGGAATCTTGCCCCCTGTTTCTTTGTGTCCTCTGCCATTAAAGAAGAGGTGACACTGATTAGTCAGAGTGTAAATGTCTCTAATGAAACATGGTACATAATTCAGATTCGTGTTATTACCATTCCATTATACCATTATACTCTTAATATTACTGAGCATTAACAACATTATTTTTATGGTTCCTCATTTAGAACTACTAGAAGGTTGCAGACTGTCTGGGTTTTGTATTTAGAACCTATCCAGAATATTGGCTGATGCCACCAAGACCTTTTCCTCACCCACACAAAGATTTTGCCTTGAATCATGGAATTTGTTTAATAAATTTGGTTTGTATGGTTCATTGCACAGAATGGAGGGATAATTGCCTTGCAACCATACCAGAAGGCTTTCAGAATGTATTTCAAATGGATACTGCGAGTGAAGCAGTATCCAAGGAAAAATAAGGAAGTTCCATGATCCCTAATTGGTACTTACTCATATTTTATTAAAATAAGTGGAAATGTTTGGTTCAGAAAGAGAGAGAAGACTCATATCTTAGAACTCTCTTGTCTCATGTATGTTACGAGATCTCAGCGTACATGCTTAGTGTAGTTCCTTCTTGCTGCCATCTCTTTCTTCATCTCCTTTCATTTGTAAAAATTCTTCCTAAATTTTTGGAGTACTCTTTCCCTGAGTGTCTCAGCATCCTAAAGTCCTGGTTGTAGTGTCTTCTAAGTCATTGTTGCCACATAACCCAGGCAAACAAGAGGTATGATGAGCTCCTCCTATGTGTTGGGTCTGAGTTTCCAATACTTCTCAGGGTTGCACCTTAGTACAGTTCACAATTTCTTCTCCCTCTGTTTGGAAAGGTAATTTCAGCAAGTTGTCAATCCTAGGCGTGCATCTGTGGACCCGTTCCACCTCTCACTGTAGTTTTCAAATTGTATTTCTTTGGCGCATATTATTAGCCTTTAGATCCTTTAACAATTAGTAGAGCAGAGGTCCAGCCTTATCTCTGTGTATTCACCTACTGGCAGTTCCTTTCACTTTATAGTGATTTCACTTTTTTTTTTTTTTTTTTTTTTGAGACGGAGTCCTGCTCTGTCGCCCAGGCTGGAGTTCAGTGGCGCGATCTCGGCTCACTGCAAGCTCCTCCAAGCTCCGCCTTCTGGGTTCACGCCATTCTCCTGCCTCAGCCTCCCGAGTAGCTGGGACTACAGGTGCCCACCACCACGCCTGGCTAATTTTTTGTAATTTTGGTAGAGACGTGGTTTCACCGTGTTAGCCAGGATGGTCTGGATCTCCTGACCTCGTGATCCACCCACCTCAACCTCTCAAAGTGCTGGGATTACAGGTGTGAGCCACCATGCCAGGCCTGATTTCACTGTTTTATACGTAGGATATTTTAGACATGAATACTATCATAATTGCTAATACATATAGCATTTACTATTAGTTACCATTCTAAACCCTTCATATATATTAAGTCATTTAATCCTCAAAACCTTATGAGTTGCATATTATTGTTATTATTATTATCCTCATTTTATGGATGAGGACATTGAAGCATAGAAAGGTTAGATAACTTGCCTGAGATCATATAGCCAGCAAGAGGTAGAGTCATCCCCAAGTCTGTGTTCTTTTTTTTTTTTTTGTAGACAGAATCTCGCTCTGTCGCCCAGGCTGGAGTGTAGTGGCGCAATCTCGGCTCACTGCAAGCTCCGCCTCCCGGGCCGACGCTGTTCTCCTGCCTCAGCCTCCTGAGTCGCTGGGACCACAGGCACCCGGCTCCGCACCTGGCTAATTTTTTGTATTTTTAGTAGAGACGGGGTTTCACCGTGTTAGCCAGGATGGTC